TTTCTTTCGTTTCGCGTCTCATCGATCGCGGATATCCGGCAATTGGATTGCGCTTCGCACTCGTTGCGGTTCTCAAGGCTCGCAATTGTCGAAATCCCGCGTACTTTGTCGCAGACCGCGCGCGCGCGCCAACGCCGGCCGCGTTGACCCGTCGCTGGGCGACCTTCCTTGGACTGCGCTCCGTCGCCGTTAATGACGTGGATTGCGGTCGCGCGATCGCGAAATGACAGCGGTCATCGCTTAGCTTCGCCTCAAATCCTCGTGTCCGTGCGCTCTTTTGAAGTTCAAAAACAATCAAGCCGATGCGCTGCAGTCATCGGTAAAACCAAATGAACAACGCGAGAGTGCGTGCGCGCGGGGGACGCGGAACGAAATAAACTGGAAGATTGTTTTTTATCGCACGCCAGTTCTAGGTATTATAATCTATACGCACACGCGCGTACGCGCATAAGCCCGAGAAATCGTGAAAGCAATCAAATTAATAAACGATCTGTGTGTGTGTGTGTGTGTGTGTGTGTGTACGTGTCCCTCTCTCTCTCTCTCTCTCTCTCTCTCTCTGATCGCTGACAGTAGCGAGGGCACATCGCGGTCGTATTACGTCTGCGCCACGGGCGATTCGGTCAATCGGCGAAATTGGGAATTACGGATTATTCGGTGCAAGCGAGCGCGCGCGTGCCACCGCGCTTTGCTCCTCTATATACGTGTGTGCACGCGCGCGGCGCGAGAGTGACTGAGCTGCGGCGAAGGAAAAAAAAAAACATATAGCTAACCCACCGCGCGCAGAGTGAGCGAGTGCAACTTACGGAAGAGGAATTGCCACTGCAGCGCTTGCTCGCAGGCTTATATAGTAATGCAGTCGGATTACCGAGCGCCACGGCGTATGTGTAGCTCTTGCACGCCAACTCTTTTCTTTCTGCTCGTTACAGGTGCACGCTGCATTTGACGTGTTTTAGACTCGGTACCACGTTAACGACTGGATTTTTTTTTCGTTCGAGTGTAATATAGTGCATTATTATTGATTGATATCCACATGTTCATGCTATATCTTTATCATACCATATAACCTTGTTTAAATTAAGTTGATCACTTTTGAATGTATATCTAGTGGTATGCCTTATTTATTACTTCGCCTTTCTTCCGAGATCTACGCAATCATTGAAAATGCTTTTGACGGTAAAACATATATGGCTAATTTACAGTTGTAATATAGGTGCTTTGGATCGATAATATTATTCACTAAATGTGGTATAAAACACACTTAAACGTATTCATTTGGTAAATGTACTAGCCAATGACAGTAATTAATTCCTCAACGTGTGTATAAGAATGAACAATGAAATATTGAACGATCCCATGGTCACAATAAATGACGAATCGACCGTGAAAATCACTAAATAACATTTACTTTTTGTAAAAGAAAATCCCAGCACAGTCGTTAGCTTACAAAGTTACAACGATTGTATACGAGGGATGAGATACAACGCTATTCTGCATAACTCGTGTTCAAATCGTCGCACCGTTGCTGCATCAGTGCGCCGTTACGCGCAATCACGCGGCAGCAGCACCAGCAGTGGCTGATTATCATATCGTAAAAAATCGAAAGAGAAAAGTGAAAGGCAGCGTGGACATTGCACAATAGGTGTCCAATCGAAAAATCAATGGTCGCGAAAATTTGCAATATTCAGAAAGAGGGAGAGAGAGAGCGAGAGAGAGAGAGAGAGAGAGACAGTGAAAACGATCGAAAGCGAAATAAGGGCTGCTGGACGCGTACATACATACGGGGTGCGCGCCGGTGGTGGTGCATGTAGCAGCTAACAGAGATAGACGCGAGTGGGAGGAAGCGTGTACATGCATCGGACGGTTCTCGTTTTGCATCTGGAAAAGGGCCCCGGTAATGCAGCGGGAAATGACGGAACCGTGTGAAAGATAGATGATGCTATCTCGCTCGTCGACTCGCGTCAATCCATAACCCATTTCGCGCGCGCAAGTACGTGCGACGAGCCGCGACTACGACGACGACGACGACGGCGACGACGGCGATGACAACGAGCGGCTAAACAATTGTCATGCCGCTCAAATTGAATTTCCATGACGCTCCATTATTTTGCTACGTCACTATGTCCACTGTACCGCGCGCGATCCTGTCGTTTTGTTGACTCCTGACGCGCTGCCCGATACCCGTTTGTTTGCGATCTGATCGAAACGCGACGCCGCAGCAGTGACCGACAACGAGAAAGCTGCTTTGATGACTTCGTCACCGCCGATTCGGTTCACCTAATTGAGCGGTTGTTTCACTGACTTTCTTCGAGAATTGCCGCTACTGCTTCCAGATCATTTTGTTGTTATTGTCTCGACAAGTGATAGCGTACGATAAACACCGATCCGAATCACGAGGCAAGGCATAAAAACCGCTGTAACGTCCACTGTTCGGAAAGCCAGGCGAGCGAGTAACTAGATGAACGACCGAAGATGGAATTTTCAGATAACACGAGCGAGCAAAGCCCGCACAGCCTGATATAATAAACACTGCACGCGCTGCATGCACAGGCGCAGAGTAGCAGCCGGAGGCTAATGGGCGAGCTCCGGGCTGAAAAATTAAAAAGGTCGCGCGCGCAAATTGAATGCCGGTGGCGCGCGAGGGCAGGCTCGGACAATCAAGTGAACAGAGCTGAAGTCTGCTTGGCTGCAGGAGAGCATAGACGAGGCCGTGTGCGAGAGAGAGTAGCCTCCGCGATGATTTCTGATTAACGGCGCAGTTGTTTCGGGCAGCGTGCACGCGCGCGCGTTGTGCCTATATATGTACGTTGCGCGGCCGCTGGACGTCGAGTAATGACTCTGGGGTTGCGCGCCACGCGTGCTGCCCGTGTGCACACACAGCGGTGGCAGCTCTCCTCTCCCTCTCTCTCTCTCTCTCCTCTGCCAAAACCATGAGAATCATCCGCGAGCGAGTAAATGACGCTGTACGCCAGGCAGAGAGACGTCCCGCGTATAGTGCCAGTTTGTTGCCCGTGTGTACGCGCGTCTCCTTTAAAGTGCTTGTTTTCGCTAAATTAAAACTAATTTTGACGACTCTTTTGCATTGAAAATCGAACGAATCGGTTGATCATCGCTTAACTGTCGAAATGTAGGAGTGTATTGATATTCCAAACGACGTTTCGTTTTCAAATGATTTCTACGTATTTGTACTAGGCTGCAATTCCAGACACAGGATCGCTAACTTACTATTATCTATACAGAATTTGACAATTCATTACCGATACTATAGAATAGTTAACAGGCAATAAAAAATATTAATAAAAAGAATAAAAATACATTTTTTTCACGAATGAACTCGTTGAAAAAGTTGTACTCGTGTGTACATAAGTAAATTACGCTAAAATAACAATATGTTTACAGTTTATTTTGAGATAAACAATTACGCCAAACTGTCGTTAACGGAAGTACAGTTCAGAATATAAACTATTTCAGATTTGCATAAAAATATATTGAAATATAGAAAACTGGATATCGGGTTCAATTATACCCGTTTCAATGAATAAAATAACTTCTACTATCTTTAGGAATTAATTTCCAAGCTTAAAAAAATGATAATTTACTAACAATGCATCAAGAAAATTGACTAATCACTCACCAACGGAAAACCAAAAAAAAAAAAAAAACAAACAGAAAAACCGTCGTTCCAATTGACAGAAGCGACAAAACCGAAAAAAAATGAGTGATAGATGCCTCTGAAGAATCATGCAAAATTGCATTTCAATCAATCTCAAAAGGAAATACCGCAGAGCGAGCGCAGCGCAGCAGAGTCGCGTGCGGCCAATTGAAAGCGAAAGGGAACTTCCGATAAAAAGGCAATGGCCCCGCGGGCGGCAAAATGATCTCTCTCCGACTGTTGCAGTGTATATAGCGGATTTGTCGAGAGGCGAAATCTCTCTCTCACTCTCGACTAGACAATCGGCAGATACACGGCAGTAGCAGCCAAGCTCAGCCGCAACCCTCGAAAATCACGGTTATTGTAATCATCGTCATCGTCATCAGCCGATTCCCCCCCGTTCCTCCACGAATATAATGTATATATGTCTTTCCACCTTTGTGTTGTCCGTGCTGTCATTCGCAAATGACGGATTCGTAATAGGCGCGTCCTGCGCCAGCCCTTGCGCGCGCGCTTTTGAGTACATATACTTGTTATATCATTGAAAAATTGTGGATGATGGTTTGCGAGAAACCGTTGATTGGATCGCTACTTCAACTGAACTACTTGGAATGAGCTTTGTGGCTCGTCGCTTAATTTGTACTTTTGAAAAAAAATTTCCTTTTTTTCAATACTGGATTAAGAGGAAAATTGAGGAATTAAAATAAATTAGCCCATCAATAATCATACCAAACGTACGTAGCCGTCAAAAGTAATAAGATCGCATTTACGCTTCAATTATAGTAATGGAATATCGCATATTTTTTCTTATGGCAACTTACGACACATAATAGTCACCGTCTATTATGAAAGCAAGTTGTCACGGCTAATTTTACTTATTTGCTTATTTTTGCAAATAGGAAAACTCAATCAATCATTAAATGCTAAGCAATAATTTTTACGAGAATATTTATTATGTTTGTAAATCATTTCATGCGGAAAAAATTTCAATTTTTAGAAGCCTACACTAATTTCAACTAAACGCATCGCAATTTTTTTGAATATGAAAAATAAAAATAAGTTTTACGAAGTTTTCAAAATAGCGTGCCTTTCATAGTTTAATAATGTTGAGAAATCAACTGAATAGATTAAATCGTAAAATAATCGGATTTTTTGGCAACACATTAATACTTTAATAAAGATTTATGGCCATTTGAAAAAAAGGCAAATGCCCTCTATCCGAAATACTGAAGAGATTATGTGAAATGAAAATGAACGTCGACAACGCAAGGCATACTTATGCTCTTGTTCGCCAACACAAAGAATTACGTAAAATACTTTTTATTCCCAAGTAAAGTAACAAGAAACTCACCCCTTCCGCTTCTACCGACGAACCTGAGGTCATTAAACTTGGCCACCTGATTCTTCATGAGTGCTGTGGAGTTTCGAAGTTCGGCGCAACAATTCTCGTCGTTGCCCGCTCTCACCGTCACTAGAGTGCCGTCGCCAACGTCTCCGAGTGCAACCACTTTGAACGCCACCGGCAGTGTCTTGTTCGAGCGCCAGTGTGTCGGCAGTTGACTGCATAGGAAATATGGGGAACCTGTTCACACAAACATTTCTTTTTAATTGATTTATTACGCGAGGTGTTTGATTTACGTTGCGAGAGAAAACGCATGTGAAAATGGTGATACTATTGCCGGTAGTACTGTTAACGCGATTGCTGTTTTACTTAAGATTTAAGTTACTATTGATGTGGTTGTGAAAATTGCAATAGGTCGACGAATTCAAATGTTGAGCGAGAAGTTGCGAGTGTTGATAAAAGTTTTCGCGAAAGTTGAGTATTCTAATTGAAGGGTTAGAAAGACATTTGTGCAGAACACCAACCGATTGTTTTACTTGTTCTAAACAAAGGCTATCCTTGCAACTTGCAAACACACGTCCGCGAGTATGTATAACCTCGAAACAACGTTTTAGCGCGAGATCAATTATCGCGAGTATTATGTGTCTCTCTGTTCTGTTCGACTCGCAATTTACGTTTAACAACTCGTAGCGAAAATATAAGTGACCTTCAAAAGACTTGTCGCCGCGCCTGAGATACAGTTTTACGAGCTTTAGACTATTGGTCTAGGAAGAAAAAACAGCCCAGAACGTAGCGAGAAAGAGAAGAGAAGATGGTCTTCGACGAAGTCGAGAGAGCAAGAATAAGAGAGAGAGAGAGAGAGAGAGAGAGAGAGAGAGAAAAATTCATCTCGCTTGTCGTCGACGACGGCGGCGGCGGCGCAGGTGGCCCGAACGAACGAACGAACGAACGGAACTCGGCAAGTCATTACAGAGGGCGACTCTCATTATATCCGCAGCGACGACGACGTGTGCGCGGGTGCTTATTAGGCAGGTCCGTTCTCAACTAATTGGCAGGGTCAAAGTGTGGGAGGGCCATTCTGCAGCAGCAGCAGCGCATCCTCCTCATCTATGTATATATTGTGTGCACCCGACAGAGCTTGCGTTTACTATCTCTCTCTCTCTCTCTCTCTCTCTCTCTCTCTCTCTCTCTCTCTCTCTCTCTCGCTTTTTGGGCACTGTCGCGCGCGCACTGCTTGCGCGAATTCGCAGCGCGCGGCTAATCCGTTGTTGGCCCAGTACCGCCCTTTCCGAGATTGCCAACTTCTTTTTGTTTTCGTGCGAATTAACGCGACGCATGGCTTCCATTTTCGTCAGGAAGTTGATTAGATTGTCGGTATTTCGACAATGCACTTTTTTAAATAGTCATTTATGAAGTAAATTACGCAGTTTTATTGCAATGAACATGAATTATGATGTTTTAGAAAATGTTCAGATACCGATAATGTTATCTGAATTTCCCTATATTATTTTTCAACAAGTCATTGCGTATTGGATAGTTTCAGCATGCATAATGGAGGCGGAAAACTTGGAATACAGCTAGAGCGGTCGCTTTATATGGCTAAAGAGCCCGGATACTCATAGCCACTTTGTCAACTCGTTATTGATCCATTCAATGGGTTATACCTATAATTACCATCAACATGGAGTTGTACGTATATAGCAACACGATCATGAATAAACTATTAAAATCATGCGTTTGCACGAGAACTCTATCAATACTCTCGTAGTAGAGTCAGTTTGCGATACTCAAACAGAAATTTACAGTCGTAAATAAATTATCGTCGAGGTATAAAGCATTGCTTCGAACATTCAATAAATCTCGAGAAAAACCCTGGTTGGTTCCTATAGGCTATGATTTGTTCTGTAAACATTTTATAACATTTCATTTTCATCAATAAACATTGTTTTGATACGTGTGATCGATCTAGAAAAACGCACTTTTTTCAATTGTTGAACTGAAGAGGAAGTTAAGTTGGGAATATTTGAATCCCAAGTCGGTGGTTAACCAAACTGCTTGAAAAGAAAACAATTCAATATAACTTCTAATGGAATTACAATGCTTTAACAAATCTGTTCAATAGAATATCTGTACTATCGTGAGCGTTTTTATACTTTCAAAATGTTTCAGTTACGCAATTTTCATGATCATTTGATTGATTTTCCAAATTGGAGGGTCGAGTTTGAAAAAATTCTTTTATTTATCTAATTTTTGGAAAAGTTTCCACATCATAATCGGCATTTAATTGACGCAGATTTCTACATTCAAATTCAAAACTCAATCATAAAAAATAATTTTTGAAAAACAAGAATCGCGTATTAATCACGTATACTGCTAAAGGTAACACTTCCATAGTAATAAATACATCTGACTATAACAAGACAACTAAATACGTTTACAAGAAAATTAACACCAATTAACTAACTTATTTTAGTAAAGAATTCAAAATAAAACAACAACTTCTATCTTGTATGTCCAATCATTTCAAGTATTGGTTCATCCACACACTTCTTCTCAAAGACTCTGTGTACGAGATATTAAGAAAATCCATCGTGGAGCCAAATATAAACGTCAAAAATAGTCAGAATTTCGTTGGAAAATTTAAAGATTCTGTAATGCCCCGTAACTATAAAGCCACCAGTCTTGACGTAAAATCATCATGTACCAACATCAGCAATGATAAGACTAGAAAACCATCCGAAAAGGATACCCAACGATTTGTAAACACGCTAAAGTCACATAAAATAAACTATCAGAAAAACCATAGATTTTCTAATAAAAACGTTCAATACCAATTGAACAATAAATATTGTAAACAAATATTTCGTGTCTCAATGTGCTCTTAAATTTTTAATTTGTTTTTGATCTCTAAACTAAATGTATAAACCGATTTTCTTTCAAACCATTGTATTTCTACCGATATGTTAAATGATAACATCACTTGCGTTTCCATCAACAAAATGAATCAAAGTAGAATGAAATAGTTTCAACTTTCGATAGATATGATTCTAAAAAGGACAATATACTTACGAGAAAGAAATGAACGACCTTATTCACCTAAAAAGCAATAGTATATATAAAATTGAAGACACTGACCATCGAAGCCAAACATACTTGTAGTTACTTCATAAAATTAAATAGGAAGTAAGAATTAGCTGTGCATATAAGTGTAAGCGCTAATGAGAGCTCTCATTTGAACAACAGCGTGGCAGTAAGTTGATATAATAAATAGTCTTTTTCAGTTTTCATAAAATTCCACACTAATCTATTTTTTTATTTATTTAATGCATCACTCTACACACCTATGATAATGCATATCTACATAAACAGACGTAAGATGAATCATTTATATAAATCGCGCTCCCTTTGTATTTTATAAACTCTTGTACTTACAAAGAGGATTGCTTTGTCATTGAATTGTTTGTTTTTTTTTTTTTTTTTTTTCATTATAAACACCTTTTTGGCTCGTGAAGATCGATTAACCAACAAATACTATCATATGGACCGAGTGTCAAATGATACCATTACTAATTCTACATAATGGTTGTGCAATCAGCAATAGCTCCAAGTATTTGTGAAGTTTTCAAATGATAATTCAAAACGTAACATAACGGTCTTGGTTAACTTGAAATACGCGAATGTTACTGGAAATCACGTTATGTGTATTTTATTGGTACAAAGCTTGGTGAGCCGCTGTCAGTTTGCCGTCGATAAATTTTAATTATTCATTATACTACTCCGTAGGTGAAAGAGTGTAGGGTTTTAAGCTCAATTTATATTGCAAGACTGCGCCCGATTACCGATACTTTTAATTTAATTGCTAGTTTCATGGGTAAAAGGGGAGCGAGCAATTACATACTGTATATCGGAGTCGCAAAGTATGTTTAACGTGACAGAATATGGACAAAAGAAAGTTTATCTTTTTATTTGTCGATACATAGTTTATTTGATTTATATTCAATGAGTCCCGATCTTTAAATATTATTGCAACATTAAGAGTTCACATCTGTGCACTAACTCACTTACTAATCTTTAAAGAGTATGGAAAACTCAAATGACTAAGTCGAACGACAGTTCTAAATGATTACTGTGAAAAGCAACATATATTTTCATCTAAGCTCCATTTCGAATAGAATATGGTTTTATGAAAGCCCTATGAAGACGTAACCAACTCTAAAGGGAGTTTTATTTCGAACGCGCTCGGCTCCTACTTACAAGTTCGAGTTAACGGATATGACGCTCTAAAGCGATATGGCGATCGACAGCCCCGATATATAGAAATGAATTTCCAAAACAAACTGCAATGCACCATTCGCCTGAGAAAGCTCGTAACTTGTGAGCAAAGATAAAGGAGAGGGCAAACCTGTTCTAACGAGTTCGCCCGGATGTTCAGCTTGCGCCTCGCCGACTAGTCTCTCGGTCCACCAGAGTTCGCCGACGGCGGCGGCCTCGCTCATGTCTCCGGCACCTGCCTCGTTGGCGTCCTCCTGCTGTTGCTGCTGCTGCTGCTGCTGTTGATGTTGCTGCTGCTGCTGCTGCTGCTGCTGATTATAATGCTGCTGCTGTGGCTGATGCTCGAGAGGCGTAAGATTGTCGTGGTGATGATGATGGTGATGGTGATGATTAGGCGGTGGGCCTTGGTGCTGCTGCAGGCCGAAGCTGTCGCCGCCGCAGCTCACCGAACCCACCGGTAGATGCATCCCATCGGCCGCCAACTCTACGTCCGTTTTCTTGTTGTTGTTGTGTTCTCCTTCCGCTTAGCCCCCCCGCACTCGCGCATGCACGGCTATTATCCGTCAGTTCCAGTGCGGCAGCGACACGCTTCTCGCATCGCAACTACCTTTTCGAAGCTTTCTCGAAGCTCCCCTGCATCCTTCGCTGCACTTCTCTACGATTATTTTCCGCGGCCAGCCGCTCGCACTCGTGTTCCCGCGCGCCCCTCTCGCGCCTTATTCGCACTTGCCGCCTCGTGGAACCAAGTCAAAGCGATGCGTGTACCGCGCAACTAGGCCCGATCACGCCGCGCGCCCATCTATCTTTCTCCAGGAGTGCGTTCACTCAACAGCTGACCGGTACCACGGAGACGTTGACGCGCGACTGTCGGCGAATGAGTCACTCGACGCACGCTCTGTCTTGGCCTGTCCTGGTAGCTGGTTCGCGCGGCTGAGCCATCATCATCGTCGTCGTCGCCGTCGTCGCCGTCGTTGCCGCTTCTCCTGCCGATCGACGCGCACATGCACGTAGACGCCCAGCGCACAAATGGAGCACAACAAAAATAAACCACACGCGCGCGCGCGTCTGCGCGTATTGCGATGACGCGTCAGTCGCGTTTGGCGGCTCGCGACGTAATGCCGCAGCTCGCTCGACGTTTGTTCGCTCGCGCGCGCGCTCCGCGAACACGTCCACTCCCCGCCAAGCCTTCGCGCTTCCCTCTCTTTTCTCCTCGCTCCTCAACGCGACTGCCGCCGCCGCCACCGCTGCTGTTGCTGCCGCTGCCGCTGCCGCTGCCGCTGGCCACGAGCGCGTGCAACTCCGCGCTCCACTCCATTGCCCAAATCCTCGTGCCCACGATACCTATGCATATGTGCAAGCCGATTGTGCGGGCTTCCCGCTACTTATCTTACCTGCACTGCCAACTAGCCATTTCAGTTTGGAAATAAGTTTTCGCCGCGGAACGAGTTGCGTCATTGCGCTCATTCATTTTGCATGAGCTTTCTTGTATGCAGCTGTTTGTCACGACGGACCTTCGATTCCATTGCGTTATTCGCATGGTCGTTTGCTCGGTTAGCGTTAGATTTGCCGGAACGTCTTATGAGATGCGCGATTTGTCGTGCCTCTTCTACCTACCATAGTTGCAACGTTAGGAATTCATTTGAAGTAGATAAAGCTCGGTATGGTCAGACAACATGTCGCCTTGACCAAACTGAATTGCATACACTATCATCTGACACGCATTGTTTTGTTAAAAGAGTTTCCGCGATGTATCGTGTTTGCTACGACATGCACCAACATTTTCTCAATATCGTCTTCTCTTTCAACGAACAAAACTACGAACGCCAGTTCAATTATAACTATCATACGATATTCAATCGTACGGTTGAATTTGAATAAGCTATTGACTTTTTACGAGATAAATAATAATTTGTTTATTTCCTATCTCAAGCTATTTTTTCCCATTAGCATCGATTATTACGCCCTCGATTAATTTCATTAAAAAATATTGTCAAACAAAAGGAAAAATGATGTGTCAGTTGAACCTATTATACCTCTGTATCGCAGGAATATAAACTAACTAGTTAGGAATAGAACAGGCGATTGCTGCTTTTAATAAAAACTGCATTTTTAATTAACATGCGTCGTTACCAATTGACACTTGTTCATTATATCAGCCGTTATCCATCTAATGATTACACAGTCCTTGTTTTAAAATAAACTGGCGGGAAAACTGAGATTCTAATGTAGTTTGGCCATAGCCTACATATAGTAATTTCTTATTTTATGGAATCATTAGTGCTCCCATTGTACGACGTATGAATAATTTAGTATTTTTTTTAAGAAAGTAGATGGAGCTACCTTGGAATAAAATACTGATGCCAGATTATTCTGAAATTTTAAGAAAATACTCGTTGTTCGCATATGATTTTACACATATCGTTATACATACCATGTGACACGGTATCGGTCGATAAAAACATGTCCGGTAAAATTTTGATTGGGATGATAATGAGATGTAAGTTTATTCATAGTCTGATATTCCGATGACTAAATTTTATGACATTTTCTCCAAATTCAACTCTGTGAATTTGATTGCATTGCTTCGCGACGCGCGCAATGCTACCTAGCAATTGAAACGTTTATCAGACAAGTAGGAAGTATTATTTATTATTAGTATTGGCTTGATGAGACATAAAATAAGGCAGGATAATTGTTTATCGCATGTTATCGCGCAGACGTGCCGAGCCAGGCCAAAAATTTCACACGAGATAAAGTCACAGGTTTGCGCGCTTCGGCGACAAGTGGCAACTGGTCTGATGATTAACACGTATGTACACGCATCTGTAAGTGGGTCAAGGGGCAATTAATTTTAGTTGGAGATTGCCGAGTTGGAGTTTAGTGCGCGAGCGAGCTTATTGTGGTGCATGCGCCTCTCCGAGAGGACAATTTATCGGCTATAACAATATAGGAAATAATAAAGAAAAAAAGAAAAAAAAAACGATGGAGAGCCGTGCGCCAATGTGAACGACAAGCTTTATCGCCCACTTTCCCACGACGGGGGGCCAATCTTTTCGGCTACGATATCACACGTCCGCGTTATATTGTACATAGGTTCTCGCGCTTTTATTAGCTCAGACGCAAGCCTTGTTATACACGCCAATGGAATAGCGGAAAAAACAACAATTTTTACCGCGCTTACATATGTGTGTGGAATTATACTATGGATTACTTTCTCGTGAGACTATTTCTATGCGGTTGATAGCGATAGGTCACCGTACGATAAGGTACCATAGTTTTTTTCCTTTCCTTAATTTCTTCCAGGTACGTTGTTCCACTTAATGTTTTTCATGCAATTATTTATTCAGTCATATTTATGTTTTTCACCAATACAACCTTGCTATTAAAATGAGAAATATTTTTTGGTTATAAAATTCCTGTGCAAATGCAAGATTCTCAAATTCGAGTAAGTTTATTTGATGTCGATCAATCTTGTTACTACGGTGACTTCTATATAAATGATGATAATATATAACCTTCAAATTTAAAATACAATAGAAAATGACATATATTTTCAAATGCAATTGGCAAGCATCCGTTCACTCAAGTGGGTAATATACAAGATTGGTTCACAGTCAACATACAAAAGTGCAGTGTCAACGTTTATTTTACTAAAGGTTTTCGCATGCGCAATTCTAAAAATCATGTGTCAGTTGTCCTATGAACATGTATTAGTAATAAATGATAATGCGGCTTTTTCTATTTTTTGCTGTCTCAATGAAAGGTATGTATTTAGTATACAGTGATCAGAATAGAATGATTCGTATTCACAGTAGTTTTATATAATACTATCCTTGGAATCAACCATAACTTTTCTATCATTATTTCAATTTTGTCTTGAAATTATATAGACGAGTTTGGAAATTCACATTTATCCATCACATATGTTTGCATTATATAGAATTATAGGTCAATATTAATGTCTAATTTTGCAACTAATGAATTTTGCAACATAGAAAGAAATGATATTAAAGAAAAGTCAGCTCGCAAATTCTGAATGAGTCTTCTGTTCTAACAGTTTTCCAAGTTTCAATACGAAATCTGTATGACCAATAACTTTCCCAACTTTTCAACGAGAAGGTGTTGTTCATTTCTCAGAAATTATTCAAGCAATCTCTAACACTTGGGAATGCAATGAAATTCACAATGGTCAGGAAAGTGCCGACTTCCATTCTTATAAGAGCACATCGCGAAAGAGTTTCTTAGTGGTCGACCCCACCACGAAAGACGATAGATGGATATAAGGCCATATAGCGTGTCGCCCCCGCTTTTACCTTGCTCTCTCTCTCTCTCTCTCTCTCTCTCTCTCTCTCTCTCTCTCTCTCTCTCTCTCTCTCTCTCTCTCTCTCTCTCTCTCTCTCTCTCTCACTCTTGCGTTTATATAGCGTCTGAGGCGTAACAAGTGTCCGCGCTGCGGAGGCGGAGCCTCACTAGGTAGCGTAGTAGTAGGGGGCTGGCCGGGTTTTCCGCCGGCTCCCTCCCCCTCGCGGTACTCCTTTCGCGGCTGACTTATCGTCGCGTATACGCGCATATATAGGTGATACGCGACGTTGAGCCCCCCGCGAATAAGTGTGCGACAGCCTTGTCAACTGGGCGGGACTGACACCACACATCATAGGTGGGAGACGTTTAGTCTCGCGTGTCTTGCAGTTAATCAAGGGCAGCTAGACTAACCCAAGTTTATCCTTCAGCTGAATGGAAGCTAGGCAACTTTTTCTATTGTTACAGCACAACAATATGCAAATGGTGCATCGTTGGCAAAGTTAGAGCGGATCACTTGAACGCTGTCCGACTGAACTTGCCAGTTTTTACTGAATTTTCAACAAAATCGAGCACACCTCGTACTACGATTCCTAATACTATAATTTTGAAGATTCCTTTATGTAGGCCAATAAAAGAACAGATATGCGTACTATTCGAGAATCAACGTGCTCTTTTTAACTTTTATAATTTTTTTCAGCTTTATCTGTTTTCAAATTGTATAAAAGGTTACGTTAGCAAAGAAATAATACTTCGAACAATTCGCGATGATAGACAAAAAAAGAAAAAAAGAATGGTATAGCCGCCAGATAGAAAAGGATGGTATACCTTTTGGCCGTGGACTCAACGGCAAGAAAGAAACACTGTAGTTAAAGAATGGAAAATTGAAAGAAAAAGAAGCGTGTAAGCACAGCGTGTACTTGAACTTCATTCAATGATCCCGAAGCGTCCGACCACTAACGACGTGCACAGGCTGAGCCACCGCGGGGCAACGAATTCCAGAGCGCGCGCTCACACCCACTCGATGCCGCAAAACTTCCGAAACGGGTGCAACGACTGCTGGCCTCAAAAGAGAACCTCAAGAAGAAGAAATAACAGAAGGAAGCGGGAGAGCGGCATAGACTGCAGAAGGTGCGTGCAGTGCGCAAGAGATGATATATCCTTGTAGCTTCCGTCGTTCGCATCCGAGTTTGTTATATTTATGCGCGCATGTGGATGTGTGTGTGTGTGTGTGTGTACGCCCATGGGCTCCCCCGCAAAACGCTACCGTTTATTGCACTGTGGTCTACAGAATCGTGGTTTCAAGAATGTAATTAGCCCTTCTCTCTCTCTCTCTCTCTCTCTCTCTCGCACCCCATTTTTTCTTCTTCGTTCTCCTTCTTTCTCACTCCTACGCGAGCAGCCATCACCTATCGGCTCGATGCACCTCGTTAGCTTGTTAACAGGGCACGCTGAAATAGCGATGATGCCTCGTCAGTTATTGGTCGAGCTGCGCAATGACTATGAGGATAGTTTCGCGGTTTTCGAATGCGCCAATGCTTACTTGCCAATTTATTTTCGCCGCGTTCTTTGAGGTTTGCTACAATGCTCTACTTACGTTCTCCGATGGATTGAGTCGTAAAATGGCACTATCGCACGCGTGTATGATAGGAACGAGTCCGCTTTGCCTTTTCGACTGAGCTATAATGCAAGTGGTTGAAAATGGCTTGGCCGGAACGTAAGTATTGTTTTAGCTTATTGAATGAAGATAAGTGTAATGGGCTAAATAAAGCTCTATTATTACAGCGCCACAATTTTT